ATGTTGATACATAATTAAAGAAATCAGGAGAAACTTGCATTACATTGGTTGCAGAATGTCCATTCCATTAACGTCAGCTTGAGCGCAGAAGATCGAAAACTCGAGCACGGACAAACATGGTGTTTTCCCTTCAAAAGGAGTACAGTGGGTTGTTCCAATAATTCCTATCGTGTCAATGTTCAGAGTGATATCTTCTTAGACAATCATGACCTACGAGACAAACGAAGCTTCTAAACCAGAAAGTCTTCACGTAGATTCGGAAGGAGTTTATGGAATTCGAAGAAAATCACGTGGGATTTTTAATCGCTTAATTAAATCTCTGTCATCTCAGCAGAAATTCTGATTCGCTTCAGAGTCGGCTCGATGCCATCCGACGAGGTTTCTTCGCCAGCAAAGAGACGCATCTACAGCTTGCATCGAAGGAAGTCTGTGCGAGTCGTTTGCTCCACCGTTCCAGTCCCTCATCTTGCCTTGACGGTTCCTCGTTCTTTTAACTCCATCTGAATGACACGCAGCGCTGCTACCTTAAACAAATGCTCAGCTCCTGTTAGTACTAAGCACTAATTCCTGATGCTTGACGCCTTGCGTCCTTCAAACCTGTGGCAGAAAGGTCTGAATGCATGCCATTTAACAGTACTGCTGGCCTCAACACATATACGATCAATATCATGAGAAGTTTCTCAAATAGAGTATGACTCCATCAAGAACTAGATTTGATGACATACTGCACCGCCCTTTTGCTTCTAGTTGTTTCAGAGGGCGGGGCATTTAAGAAGGCGAAGGGTCAATAGTATTTGAGCATCAGCAATGCCAGGTGCAACTCGCATCATTTTGTCCGCTACAGCCACCTTGCTTTCATCACGAATAATGTTTCAAGAGTGGTAGTCCTCATATGCAACCTCCTTAACGTCATAAACTGTTCGCACGTTGGATGTGTTAAATAATGCATGACTAATCCAAAACCAGATTTCACGGAGTGTCGCTCCCTCTCCTTGCTCTAGGTACTATGAAGCACAGACCTGCTTAAATTTGTCCTATGGGCAACTAGAAGCAAGGGTACGGTATGAACAATCTATTATATTTATGCAGACGTTTTCTTCGCGCTTCATGTAGCAGATTTGTATCAGATACTTAGCAATTCACATACAGAAAAAACAAATGAAAAAAATTCATTCATGTTTACTTTACGGCGGGTCGACAACAGCTCGACAAAGGCAAATGTGTAGAATGGGCTTTTCAAAATTCAATCAATTTTCAATGCAGTTACATGGAAAAAAACTGTTGTAAATGGTAAAGGAAAT